ACTTCCTGGGGCCCGTCTCTTCGTTTCTTTTGACAGTTTGAAAGGTACAGGCGAGAGTATAAGATTTGACTTAGAAAGTCCAGTGAACACTTCTGTTCCTGTAACCGAATTTCGCCGATATGCGTTAATTAGCACGGAAAAAGGTGTGTGCATTTAAAAATTATTTCAGCAGTCAGACGTCTTATGCCATCGTGTCTGTTTGAAACGTTTGAACAATAATTATTTTAATCTTAGGTTTTTTATCGTTTTATGAAATAAAAATTATTTTTAAGATTATTTATCCGCCTTTTTTATGCCCAATCATGTGTAACATTGTGCTCTTTCGGATGGTTTATTATGACTCGTAAATAGTATTTTAATAATGAAATAAAAAAATAAATTTAGTACTTGTTGTCAGCAATTTTTTAACTTAATAAAACTTGCTCTGCACATTAAGTACTTTAGTCAACAGCATGTCATTTATTTTTTTCTCGAAAAATTAGTCACGTACTCAAATTGGCGTTTTAAATCGCATGAAGAAAAAAAATGTGAGTGTCATATAAAAGCTTGAAAAGGACAGTATACGACCAGCGTCACTGAAACTTATGCGATGTCAGTTGATCTGAAAAAAACTTCATAGCCTTAATTGCACTGCAATACATTACATTGTAGATTAAAACCACTAGTTTCAAATCGGTGCCTATTAAAAGAATAAATTTTGAAATGAATAGCGAATAGAGACATTTGAGAAATGTCTACTCCATTCGGTGTTCAAAAAACCAGAAGAAATCTCTCCAATCCCTTTGACATGTGACACAAACGTATGCATGCAGGCCTAAGTTGATTTCGGCATACTACAGCGTTTGAGGTAAAAAGTAACAATCATTACTAAGTTGATGAATTCCAGTCAACCACATTATCTTCTAGGCGTGCGAGTTTAGAATAACACTTAAATTTCATGTGTGTTAGCTGCTTTTCTTACATTCGCATGCAAGTGCCGATGGCTGTTTCTGCAACAAAACCATGCAACAGGATGCACTGTGATTTTCACATGCTCAATAAAGTTATTGTATATTATTTCCAGCGTTTCATTATCAGGGCTGGGCCACTATTTGCGAAACGATTGTGAAAACACAACCAAGTCTTTTGGGCTGAGTGAACGTAATGAACTACGAGAACAGACCTGTCGCTGCAAAAACTTGGACGGCCAGTATAGTTTCGTTAGCTAATGTTTTGCGAAATGTCTATAAGCGAGCACTTCATGCAGTGCAAATGTCAGAAATTATTTTTAATTACTTTTGGATAATTCATCCATACTGGCCGATGTGTTCATTTTACTCCAAATTGGATAATAATTTATATATACGAAGTTATATCTGCCCTCAAATTTCATGCTGGTTTTTTTAAAAGCTATTCTCTATTGGTGAACATCGGTTTACTATACAAGCAACGGCTGCCAGGTCAAAAAGAATTTTTCTAAACAGATGGACGTCATAATGTAATAAAATATAGAAAAAAAGCGCAAAATTATAATCTTGATAATATTTTGCAGAAGTCAGCTCTCTGCAATTTAACCTTTTCAGTTTAGGCATGCATACGTCTACTTCACGCAGTTTAAAGTAAAGCATTTTTAAGGTAATTTTTTCTCCGGCATTATGCCAAAGCATAGCAATGCTATGTTACTCCGGTTGATTTGAGTGTAAAAGGTAGTCGATATTTGAATTATTATGTGAAACATAAACTCATTGTCTTCATAAAAGCATACTGTATCTTGGAAAAGGTTTGCTCCACAAATATATAAGTCAACGACACGTGCTACCCTTTAGCTCGCAAAATGAATCGCATAATCGAAATTGGCGTCGTAAATCGCGATAGCGATGCACGTTATATTCTAACCATTTATTAACATAAATATATCGGGTACGTTCTAATGCAAACCGATATAACTAAGCATATTACGTTCTGTACAGTAAGTGTACAAAACGTCTTTTGTCGGTTTTCACCACGCAAAATCGAGTCAACAAAGCCATACCACAAATAACGAACACAAAGTTAAATAGTTGGATTGCCGTTTAAAATATTTGGACAAAACTATAACATAGACGCTCCAACAGATTTGTTTAACACCACTACAGTAAATCGGGTAAATAAACAAATCATACATCCTCAAAAAGGCTGCAAAAACTTTCTTCCGAGAGTAGGTCAATGGTAGCTTTCTCATTGCCGACGTTAAATTTATAATTTAAACGTTTCGACTTAATGTAGGTGTCCGAAACAGAAATGTAATCGACGTAAATTTCACCTAAATTTGCATGAAGTTAATTGGGCTACTGACAGTATTCTTCTACTTGCATTTTGCACATATTCGTGTTCTTGTTTATTCCAATATACAGGAAAGCGTTTTTCTTCTGTGGAATGCTGCGTTAGCATAAAGCTCCAAATTGGAAATGACATCTTCACCCCAAAATTCTGAGTTGTATTCGTGACGCCTTGTCATCGCATAATGAACGAGTTGCGACAGATTTGGGAATCGAAGATTGGTCAGGCGGAGTGTTTGCGACTTGGAACTGCCATATAAATAACCGACGGTAGCCCGTGCAGGTATGCGTTTTAGAACTAAATGCAGGAGCATTAGTGTATATCAAAAGTACCTGCTGAGATAACGAAGTCCCACCTCTTAAATATAGAAAACACAACATTCATAATATCATGCAGCAATGCATAAAATGTGTTTGTAAGTAGTATTCATAATTATTTTAGAGAGAGGGCGTCGTTTGGGATATCCAATGTGCACCACGTTTTACAAATGCTATGTAATTTAGCTTCTTTCGTGTTTTATTTTATTAATAAACGTTGCTGACCTTGTCAGTTAGGTGAATTGCAACTTGGGACAACTGAATCGAACATTGAAATAGCACCAGGTTTGCCTCACGAAAGACGTGTAGTACATTGCAAACTGCATTTCCGATTGCTGCTGCACTCTCCATCGTAAATTCGACTGATCGGCGGGAGTCAAGCTTTTTTGTAAAAGACAACGGAAACAACCGGAACACACCTGTCTCCACAAACAAATGGAGCCGGAACGATTCCCCCTCTTTTGGACATAGAGTCTTACCTGAAGATGCAAGACAGGCATGAAGATGACTCAAATCCGGCCTTTTAATAAATAAACTGGCAAGCTGGAAGGGCCATATTTGACCTGTTTGGCTTAAGCTGCACGAATTCCCGTCTTCTCAACGAATGTTTAGAAGTCGATTTTACTCGTAGAAAACAGTTAGCTTTAAGGTGTGCATTGTGAGATCGGATGTTTGGTCAAATAGCGGTGGTGTTCTGTGCAGAATTTGCTTCCTCAACCGCAGGACACTTATTGCCTGACAATTGCGGCTGCTGATGATAGGTTAAGGTAACAAGCTCTTTTGAACGTAATTTGAATTTCACTGGTTTTTTGCATTACATATAGGCCATTAGACATGTTTACCTGCCTCTATTATATTTCATTTCTTGAAAAATGTTAGTAAAATATAAAATGAATTAATACAAATAGCTTTATTTTTCTTTGTACAATGTCAAGTTCTTGAATAAAATAACGCTCATCACTGATCAACAGTGTGCTGCTTGTAGGGAAAAAATGAAGCAAAAAATGGAATTCAAATTTTCAACAGTCCAGATTACTCTTTCTAAATTTTACTCGAACGTTTGTCATCATTAATAAACATTTGATAAGACGCATACGATATATAAGTTAGAACTCACGAAACAAACTTGGACAAGCACAGAGATAGCACACAAGCCACAGAAGGCACTGCATGCTCAGGCGCAGCATGTGTCAGTTCGAAAATCAACTTTGCACTGATTAACCCAAATTTATATTGTGCCCCTTTAAGCCAATGGCAATTGACAATCCTCTCCTATTGCAAAACTGCGAAGGCATTGTTACGTGCGTATCAAATTGCTTGCACCTTCTGGCTACATCATTCAAACAAAAAACTGTTCTGTTGCCATTTGTATAGTAAGGCTTGAAACGTATTATATACGTTCCAATGCTTCAATCCATTCGGGTAAGAAATATAATGATAAATATCTGCTCGAAACTGCATAATAGCAGTGTGCGTTGCATACATACGCATAGATGCACTCAATTATCAGTACAGAACATTGTTGGTCGCTTTTGAAATGCGGCGCGCGCAAAGAACTCCAATCTTTGTATAATGCTTATGTTCTGTCGTGAAGCCTTGTGAACCAAATTAAATGGCTTTGCGTATTTCACCTTTTGCAAAAGAGTGAGAAATTGCAGATCAGTCAAACGAAGACCACTCAGTCGTGAACTGCCGTGCAAGTAGTAAACCGTTGCAATTGCCTGTACGCTTGTAAGCTCTAAGCGCAGGGTGAATTCCGTTCCCTTTAAACGATATTGGAAGCAGGTAAATTGCCTCAAGACGAATACACAGATGAAAGTATTGAATATTATATGACATACTCCAACTATATTTTAGACACATCACAATGGCAACGTCTAGATGCACACATGTTTGGTCGCCTAAGAAAACCGCGCTTACTAAGAAAGTGTTTCTGAATTAATATGCCTTTCCTATAAAGGTTTTTAAGGATCCATTAAATCAAAAACAACATTTTATTTCTGTCATTTGGTTTGAAACCATGTTATATTATGTCATTGCCGAGAAAGGATGCTTTTGTTCTTAAAAGTTCTTTTATTTTTTGGTTTTCGAAAACCATGAAATGTCGTTTGTAGGCATTTTATTTGTCATCTTATATGCCCCTATTAAACATTAGATACAATTAGCATCAGCTGCAACATTTCCGGATCCTGGGGTAGTAGTCCATAATAGTCATATGAAATGCATGTTTTATTTAAAAAAATGCACAACCTGAATACAGTAAACCCTGGACAAAGTGCAAATGGAAATCCAATTTAAGATTCTTTGTAAATGAAAACCTTTCTAAAACCAAAATGTACACCTTCTGCTAGTAAAACTTTGTAGGCAGACATAATGTGTTATTGCATGATCACCTTAAACACCTAAAAAACTTGACGTTATACTGTAAAAACAGTGTAAGGTATCATAGGCATATACAAATATCAGAAAACACATATGCTAACAGTTTTCATTTTCACGTACCGCTGCAGCGATGAAACACGGACGGCTAATCGCCAGAAACCTTCTTCTCCCCCATCCAAACCCCAGACGGAACTAGAATCTGATCACTAAGCCCTGAACGCCCCACAACCACCTTCTCATATATTGTCTGTTTTTGGATGTTTAACTTTTGTTATTTCAAGCGACAGTGACAAAGATGTTCATTATTTGGACTGTGTCAGACCTAACGTTGCGGTTTAGAAGTCATTGCTCTAAGGAACATTGAAGTAGGCCTCTAAAGATTGGCTAAATTTTTGTTTAATCCCATTAATGTGTTGGTTGATGCCCTTACCGGCTACATGCTTGTTGATGTGGATATGCATATCGAACAGCCAAAATGATCTGACGCAACAGTCTTCATCCATTCTTATTTCATTGCTGTCAAAAAAGCCCTTCGTGCACCGTAATGCAGCTTAGAAGGGTATGCACCGTCTTGAACATGGACAGTTTTAGTTTACAAAACGTAGTCAGATGGCGCATTTGAGATAAAAAAGACCACAATTTTGTCTACTTCTTTTTGCTGGAAGATATTTATGCAAACTGCGTAAGGCAAACAACCCTCTCATCCCCTTTGACTTAATTTTAAGGATTCCGTAGTTGCTCTAATTTGATAAACGTTATTTTCCCCTACCGCTCTAGATGCACATCTTTCGAGGGCTTCTGCGTCCGACAAAATGAAGATGCTGTGCGGAACTGAGGGTTAGTATTTCCAGCCGGATAGAAGGACGAAAAACAGAAACGCCCCACTCTGTTGATAAATTTGTTGTTACAAAGGCGCACGAAAGCAGGGGCAGATTCATTGCATTTCTCAGTGCTAATATACCCCTAAACAAAATGGAAGCATCACTGTGCTGTGCTTTGGGCATCATGAATTATCATCATGCTTTCCGCAAACAAGAGTTGCTTTCAGCCAAAGAAATGACCACGGGCTAACTGTTATTTCAGTAAAATGATGATTTCCTTTTTAGCGCAGAAGGAACTTGCGGTCGAGCACTTTCAGCGCAGCTAATCGCAGTGTCAGTGCAAAATCACTCACCGTTTTGGGCCTCCTTAGTACCGTACGTTTAGGCAATTGAAATTTGACAAGTCTGCACACATTTGAGGTCGCATAGACTAGTTTCAGAAAAGAGGGGAGAATAAGGAGACGCGCTTGCGGGATTCTAGACCAGCATCAGGGTCAGTACCGAGTAAGATCAGTTGGCGGAAAATTGTTGCTGTATATTTAGGGTCTAATGACAATGCCGTTACATACCTATGATTGTTATTGGCCTTTAAAATTATCGCACATGGCCAAGCATGTTAAAACGACTACATGCCTGCTTGCATCTGATTAGATAATTGCTGCACTTCCCTCAAAATTGTGGTTTATGATCCTTAAGCCGTCAGCAAGCCAGATAAAATATCCTATCTTGTTGAGTACTAAAATAAGTAACAATTGGGAGATGGCACTCAAAAAATTCCGTTACCGATGAGAATATGCAGGAGGACTGCATGAGTGTTCGTCCCCAGGCTGATGAAAGGAATAAAATAAGAGTATTTTACTGAGGGCCGGAAAACTTTAAAAGCATACAATCCTAGACAGACGGTGTCATCAGTTAAGCAATTTCACAAAATGGCAACTCTCGTCGGGGTCAAGTGCGGCGATGTTTTCAATTACGTCCTCTGTGTTTTTTGAACGTGCAGTTTTGAAAGCGATGATATGAAGGCATAGGGTCATGAACAGCACAACGTAGAACGTTTCCTTTAGCCAACTGCATTCCGCTTTCAATTCCCTATTTAAAAAAGCAATTAAGCAGGGAATACGAACTGGATCGACTTGATATTATCTGCCTCTTCAAGTAAATCCGACACCGCGCACATTTTTGTTGCCATATAGTGATGAGGTTAAACTTTATCGTTTGAAAAGCCATTTCTGGAAAAACCTCTTAGTATTTTTTATATTTATCCACGCAATCGAAGGCCCCACCCGTTAAACCGCTATTACCGTCTGTCCCGTAAGACAGGCTGCTTTGGTTGGGCGGATTTTTTGGGTGCCATCTCCCAATTGTTACCCTAAAATGTCAATTGATGGGCTCGCAGTCAAGCACAATTTCCACTGACAGTAACGTAAAGCGACAGAGTAAACAAAAGCCCAATAATGTATTTCATTATATTAACAGCGGACTGAAAATCAGGTCAGAAACAGAAAATCGTGCGTGTTGATGCTTTAACTTCATCGCCTTCCCTCGTCCTAATTGGATTTTCAAGGGCTCATTCTTAGGGCTGTCGCTATTTCAACAAATCTGTTTGAGAGAAAAATGGTTTATAATTAATTGTAAGACATTTGGGAGACTGAATCTAACAATAAACACACTTAATATTTAGACCATTTCAAACCGTATTATATTATTGACTGAAATGAATGATTTAAAATAGCAGGGTAAGAGATCGTCGAGGTTTCAGAGAACACCTTTGCCAGAACAGTGTTTACGTCTGCGTAAAGCATGATTTTATCGGAAAGCAGTCTATGAGGTAGAGCCAAAAATAGGTTCTGTTTGATTAACCTTCATATTCACTGTAAACTGTCATAAAGCGGAAAAAATAGAGCAAGACGTTTTCTGTCTTAAATATATACACGGTAATATATCTGGACCTCGCATCTTCACGCATATTGATATATCCAAGTGTATACGGTTAAGCCACCAGTTCCAACTGTCTAAAGCATGCTGATATTTTTATAAAGTAAAAACAACTTACAGCTATACCAGCAGAATCCAGCGTATGATAAAGTACGAAGGAGACAAAAAACAATGTTGTCCAAAATACCCGGACGATTAGCCGTCATTCACTTG